ATATATATATATATATACATACATATATATATATACATACATACATACATATACATATATAATATAAGATATAATTTACAAGATTATATTAATCATGAAAAAATATAGACATTTGGTGGATGACAGCGGACAAGCCCATCCAAGCTCCCAACTCAAATCAAGTGAAACGTTCAAACCATTATTCAAATTAAGTCAGATCAAATTAACTAAAATAGAGAAAAAAACAAATTTTAGCCAAGCAAGGATAATCTAATTAGCCCAATCAATTTGGGAAGTTCCATGTCAAAAACTTGGTCCCAAAGCTGACTATTTATTAATTCAGATTAAGAGGATCAAAAGGTTCTCCAAATCCATGCCCAAGCCTAATACTAAACAAGGCAAACTTAGAATACAAAATGAAAGATAACTCCCAACCTCTTCAAAGTAATTTAAGGCTTCACTCAAGCTTACTCTCAAAATACCATGATCCTCCACAAATATTTTCATATAGTAATATCAAATAATATAGGATGCAGCTAAGGGCCGCTGTATAATTAGACTGACAGATCATAATCAATCCCTATCTTGCTATGTATGCCATTGCACTGAGGAACACACAAATATATTAATAAATGGGTTGAAGGCTTCGATACAAATACATCGCTCCTCTTGCTTGTTTCTTATGTCAGCAAATTTTCAGGTAATAAGCCTGGTATTTAAAAAGAATAAAAATGATCCCTTATTATTTGCTTCCAATTTGCAGGGATTTTCTTACCTCAAAGATCTTTCTAATGGCAGGGATATTTTCTTCCGGATGGGATATATATAACTGAGCAACTTCATAAATTAAGCCTTCAGTCATTAAGCATTAATATAAACAATACCGGCTGCAGCTTTTCCTTTAAGGAATCAATCTCTCATCATGGAGTTTCACATACTCTGTCTTGAAATGATGAACGCCGCTTCCTTTTTTTAGCTTTAACTTTGGGAAGAAGAGCCTCGTGTGCATGTTTCTCCTGCTTTGGATGCCTGAGAGCCCACACCTTCTGCAAATCTGGCACCCAACTAGTGAAAGAGGAGAATCGACGAGCCCTGTTTCTTCGCTTGTTAGCTTCCATCAACTGTCGTTCAATTGTTATATCCAGAAACTGATGGCTTGGAGTAGTGTCTTCATTCATGTAGATAGAATTTGGGTTGTTTATGCTGAAATTGTCACCCTTTTTCAGCTCATAATCATTGCTTGCAGGTTCTGAATCTGATGCCTCCACTTCATTCCCATCAAATGAGAAAAATTCCATTCTGGTATAAATTTCATGAATAACATCTTGTAGAGAATGTTCATACCTGTAGCAACGGGAGAGAATGATTTTAGAATGTATTCTTAAGACCTACTCTTGACAAATTTCAATAATATGTGTATACAATTTGAACAAGGCATGAAGGAATGCAAAATTTGTAAGGAAGAGTAAAATATTCATTCAAATGAACATTTTGCACCATCTAGTTTGGTCAGGTCGCCTTATTTCAGCAGAATTAGCATTCCTCAAACACATGTCTTTTGTTGAAAGATATAGCATGGAAAAAGCAGTGTGAACATAAATGATGATCTTATCATCAGAAAAACTAACATATAAAGCCTATATTGCCGACATAGCGTAGCTTAAAATATATCATTTTTCAGTAAGAGATGTTAGAAACCATCCATTTTGACTAGAACCATGTATGACAAGACGCCAAGAATAAATTTCATCGCCTGCTATGAAGTTTGAGACCGGCACAAACTTTGAGGTAATTTTTTTAACACAAAATATTCAAACTTCGATTCAACGACGCAACATTTTTTTTTCCTACCAAATAGCATACCTGGATTTTATGATCCTTGTAGCATAATCGAGGAGAGACTCTCCATGAAAAAAATCAGCGTGCAGATAGAACTCCACATTTCTCAAAAGCAAGCAACAATCTTTTATCAACTTTTGTTTAACACATTTATCAAAGTTTGATGCAACCTTCGATAAAAGTATCTCCATCCTGAATAAGATCTGAAGTTCATGCCTAAAGCATGTTAAAGAACACAGAGACTTCAAATTTTGCACAAAAAACGCACCTACTTAATGTAACTGATTAGAAAGCACCCAAAAAATTTAAAAAATACAAAGAAGGATACATCCTAATTTTCTTTTCATTGCTGTAAATGACAGGAGTCGTTTCTATTGTGGAAGATGCACTAGTGGAGCATTTGCACTTGTGTTCTAGTTCTTTGGGTTTCACTAATAGAAAATTAGACATTTCAGTGGCGATTTTGGTGTCAAACAAATCCAGCTCTTTCCTTGAATTAAGATCCTCCACTTGAGCCTTCTCATATTTAGTATAAAGTGCATCAATTGACATACGTACTAGACGTTCTGCCAAAATAAACAAGTCAACTTCCTTCGAGCACAAAGCATTTTCAATCTTCAGAGAAATACTTTCCAGGAAAGCATTTGAATCTTCAATGCAAACAAAGGATGAAGCCGCTTGACTTGTTGATTGGCTCAAACAATTGTCACCAGCAGAAGAAACAGGTTCAACTCCTACATTTAAAGAATCATATACTCCGTTTCTTTCACTATTAGAAGAAACATTTAATTTCGTAATCTGTTTCATCCAGCATTTCAAAAACCGCAACTTCTTTGATTTTTCAAGTTGTAAATTGAAATAAAACTCTTCCAGGACATTTATTGAAGCCAAGTCATCAGACTGACTAAACACTCTATCTGTGAAAGAGCTCCATGAGATATCATAAAGCATATTCGTCTGTGTTTCCCTTCCCTTTCTTCTACTTATATTAGCCCTATTTTTGGTGGAAAAAGAAAGATCAAAATTTCGAGGAAAGATGCTTAGTAAGGCATAATTCAAAGTGAAAGGCTGCAGCATGCCATTAAATGAGTTTCCATCACCATCAAAAACAGAAACTAATGCAGAACAATTTCTGTTATAGAGAAACGTTAGAATAAGCTGCCAAATAGGTTCCCTTACATCAAGCTCACCCGTCTCATCACAAATCAATTTAAGAATTTTATCTGCAATGAATTCGTCTTTAGCATTTGCAGTAGCTTCTTTCCCTGTTGCTCTTGAAATTCCGTGCAGTAGTATTAAAGCACAAGAGTTTTCTATGGCCTTAGTTTCCTCATTAATTTCCCATAACTCTCTAACGCAAATCCTTGTGTTAACTCTCCCACATTTTTCCGAAGAAAGCCATAGCAAATCTGATCTCTCTTCAAGAAATTTTAAAACGACAAATTCAAGATCGCAGCTTTTACACTGTAGAGTTGCCCCACTGGAGTCTTTGATGCTCAGAATAAGTTCAGCGCGATTCTTCATGTAACTGTTCAAAGACTTTAAAGCAATAGTGCAGCATATGTATGGGAAAATCAAGCCAAATGGTACAAGTGCAGATCCCAACACAATCGCATCAGTCCTGTTGCATCCCCAGCCCAACTCCTTCAAGCCACATTCAAATAAACCTAATCCAAACCTCTCCTCACCTAATCGGCTAAAACTAGCATCAATCCAGCTGATATGGATATCTCTGGATATGAGTCGTTCCTTAACCATCCCAAAAATTTTCGAAAACTTGTTCAGGAACCGATCAGAACTTAAAAACGCCCCCTCACTCAAATATTCAGATATGCAGCTGGATGATTGAGGGATCGGAGAAAAAAGCACCACTAAATTGGAACGAATCATTAAGGAATGAGGCATACCTCTGTGGTGCTGAATTTGAGGCTCCCATGCATAGTCATACTCGAGTTGGAGGAGCGATCCGGCGACAAGAGACGCTCTGGAACAAGCAGGTCGGTCGTAATCAAGAGGATCCTGGATAGAGAAGAGGGAATTGAGTGTGCTGAAAAGGAGATCTAATGTCTGGAGGGGCCTATCGAAGGAGAGGAAGGCCGGTGATTTACCGAGGAGCTGGCGAAGCTTAGAGGTGGAGAGGATGGGAGAGAGGGAAGAAAAGAAAAACTTGAAAGCGGCGAGAGATGAGGAGATGGCCGGAAAAGAGAGGATCCGACGTGCGGCAGCAAGAACATTGCAGACGTAAGGATTTTTGTTTTCGAAAACTAGAAGAGGATGGAGATCAATGAGAAGTACGATTCGATGGATCCGAGAGGTGTCTAGCGAATCCATTGTTCAACAGGTAACGGAATTGGAGCAGGATTCAACCTGGATTTAGCCTGAATCTTGCCAGACGGTCATTCTAGACAACATAAAGCCGCAGATTTGATAGATCCGGATTCACTAATCGCGACTGTATCGTGAAGGTTTGGTTACGAAGAAGATAGTTTTGGCCGGCGAAGCTAGGAAGGAAGCCGGCAGAGGGGGAGTGAAGTAGGCGAGGGTTTGGAGCAGAGAAATTTGAGAAGCTGAAGAAGAATAGGAGTGTTCCTTCCTGCATTCCCCTTTTTCCATGTTTTTTGAGTTTTTGGCGGGAACCTGAGAAATTTTGGGGACAAATTTAATTTTAAAAGCAAGCTCCGTGCAAAAGCCAAGTTTGATTGAGCTCAATTTACTTGTATTTGTACTTGGTTCGTTAAAAAATATTATTGTTCAAATTCGAGTTGTTTATATATCGAGCCCAAAAAATTTGTTCATGTTCGGCTCATTTGTTTAGCGAGCCAAACACGGATTGTTAGGCAATGAGTCATTTTGACTATCCTAACCACAGAGCCGTAAGATGTTATTGGTTGGACAAGATTTAAATTTTATTATTTACATTAAAATATTCATTTAAATGAAATTTAATATTTTTTTTTATTTTATTTTTTAATTAATAATTTTAATTGGTTAAATTTTTGTAGCCGTGTAATCAATTAAATTATTCAAAATGAGTCAACACAAACAAACAATTCTTTATTTGTGCTCAACCCCATTATATAGCGAGTGCAAAAAAATTATTTCTATTCGCTTGTTTGTTTAACGAGCGAGCCAAACACAAGCTACATGATTAGTCAAGCATGAGCAGCTCGCTAACAACGAGCCATTTTGATAGCCCTAGGGTTTTTGTCCGGATCTAATTCATTTTGGCTGAAATGGACTTGGCAATTAATCTGTTGATAGTTGATTTATTTAGTGGTTGTAGCAAAAATCTGAGTGAAATCTTTTGATGGCAGTGATTAGCAATGATAATAATAATTTTTAAAATATTCAAAGTATTTAAATTTATTTGTAGCATATTTAAAAGTAATTTGATTTATTTTTAGCATGTTGGTAGAGCAGCCTCTCTGAAGACTGTAAATCCCCTCAGATCACAGGTTCGAATCTCTCCATGTGTAGGATGTGGTACTCCAATATTTAGCACACTTAGGGATAATCGACAGTTGTCTAATAGCTTTCAGTCATTCATTCCACACACACACACACACACACACGCGCGCGCGCGCGCACACACACACACACACACAGACACACACAGATATATATAGAGTAGTATTATTTTTTAGCATGCCGAATACGAGCTGAGCCTGAGCTCGCTCGTGTTCTGCTTGTTTACACCCCTACTTGTTAGCACACGTTGGAGGCAAAATTGACAAACAAGCACAAGATCAAGTAAATTTTAAGGGGCGTTTACATGCACAAAATTTTTATTTATTTAAATAGAACAAACCTAAACTTTAATATTTACATATGCAACGGCCAAATCATTAACATCACATGAAAAATATCACTTTTACAAACTTCTAAAATTCAAATACACTTTTTAATGCATAAATTTTAAGGTGTTATGATATTAATATTAAACAATAGGTGTTAGATGTATAAATCCATAAGAGTTGTGTTGTGGGTAAGTAAAATCTCTTAGATTTTAAATGTGTTATGTATGTGATTATGGAAAAAAAATTAAGGAGAAATTTAAAAAAGGAGAACCTAATATATGTGTTTAAAGGGATGCAGCACGGCATAAAATAAAAATTAAAAAAAAAAAACTAATATTATAATTAGTGAGACCCACTCTTTAATTTGAGGTTATTTTAATTCGACGTCTGACGTAAAATTTACGTCCTCAATAAAAAGGAAAAATGTTTTATCAGGACTCATAACATAGAGCTGCGTTCGGATTGGAATATTCAGTTGTGTTACGAAAATATTTCATCTGCGTTATTTGTAAAAATGATGTGTTATTTGAGTATTATATAGTGTTATTAAATTATTTTACAGTGTTATTAGGATATTTTCTTGCGTTACTTGATTTGGGGTTGTGTTATTGGACATATTCCTCGTGTTATTTCAATTTACACTGGAATAATACAGCCCCAAATCAAGTAATGAGGGGGAATATTCTAATAATACTTCAACCCCAATTTAAGTAACGTGATGGAGTATTCCATTAACACTGCAAAATAATCGAATAACAATATATAATACTTGAATAACACATTATTTTTACAAATAATAAAGATGAAATATTCTCGTAACACAACCGGATATTCAAATCCGAACATAGCTCTACGTTAGGAGTCCTGATGTAATATTTTTCCCGATAAAAAATCCTCTTAGAGGTGTTTAATGTTTTAACTATATTATATATAAATAGGGGCGTTTACTATATAATATTATAGAGATTAATTTTATAATACATAATATTATATATTATTATTAAAAAATAGTATATATAATATTATTATTAAAAATGAATTATAAACTTATATTATATAATTTGTTTTTTAGATAATTTCAAATTAATAAAAAAATATACATGAACATAACGAATAAACTAATAACAAATGAAATTCAAAAAAAAATGCAACAAAATATTATTAGAGCTTATATATTGTTCATATTAGGATGTTTTCTTCTTTTGGAAATCTTTGGATCGCATGTACGTTTAAAATATTTAATATTAATGGAAACTTTAGAAGAATTTGAATGATATTCTTTGGGTGGCACAGTGCTTGACATCTTTACAGAGATATGTAAATTAAGTTCGGTCATGTCACAACTGCTGCGTGTTTGCACTTGTTCCAAACATTGTGTTGGGAGCACTTTCATGTTGGTAGACCAAGCATTCATGTTCCGACTGGTGATTTATTATTGGCCAAATCAATTATGTTTAGGTACAAAATTATTTTGTATTTTTTATATATAAACACAAAATTTTAAATCAGATTAATCTCATTTAGTAAACTAACATGTAGATGGAATGAACAGTTGCTACATACATAACCATCTGGAAATATAAGTATGTGCAGAGATGAACTTGATAGACCTAAAACAGAGTCAAGTTTAACCATAAACCCTTCTATTCAATCCCACATTCCTATCACATTTTTATCTTAAATATAATTAAATTCATAACTTGATATGCAGGTTATTTGGTCACCATGACATGTTTTCATTACAAGGATAGTTGGACTGCTAACATTCAAATAATTTGTTGGAAGCATGTCTGAGTGATACCTTCCAGATCGTGATTTACAACAGTTTTCTAGCATTTAGTTTATATCTATTAAACCTATCGAACGAAGTTTTAAGAGTCGATGGGCAAGGTAAAGCTAAGTTGACTGGATTCAATATCACTGTAAGTAAAACAATAAGTGGAATAACTGTCAGGTGTATATAGTACCATTAAACCTGCCACCAGAAGCCGACAAACAAGAATTGGCTCATTATTTGCAATGGTAGTAATCTTGGGCATCACTCTACCTAGTGAAGCCCACTACTCAGCCTTCGAAAACCTATTACCCCTGATCACCTGGAGAGAGAATAGTGGTATGCATTTACTATATTTTATAGCCACTGCTAATTACTTTTATTATAATACATAATAATAAATTTAATCATTCAATTATACAGATGAATTACTACATAGAAAAGATATTGCAGAAAAATTTGGAGTGGATCGTAGTGAAAGTGCTAGCTTTATGAAACAAGAATACGATGAGATGTTGGAGCTATCACATAGAGTAGAACAATCCATCCATGTTGATTATACCACAATTGATCAACCAAGGAGAAATCATTTCGTGACGGGGCTATCTCATAACACAGCTGTCAAAACGTCTGGCCCCTCGTAGATGAACTTCTGATGGTCTACATCTGTTGTGCTCTACTGTAGCAAGACGATCAATAACAGATGCTCCAATGAGATCTTCAGCTTCCAGAGCACGTAGATCTCCCTTAAATGGGTCACACGAACAAAAATTTTCATAACTTTATGCTTATCTTGGCCAATCAATATTTGTGTGTCTCTCTAACCATACAGAATCCCACCAGCTATGCATTATTATCGACATATGAGGGTCCACCATACGATTTACAATGGACAACATCTACTGGAGGGAATCTAAATTTAAATTTTCAAAGCATTCCCAAGCCTACATCTACATCTAATAGGGCTAATTTTCGACATGCCTCCAATTTACACACCACCAATACCCAAGAATGAGAATTATTGTGCGCTCCAAAAAGCTATGAATAACAAAAACTGAAAATGATGTTGAAAATGAATTTCAAGACGATCAGTTGTGAGATAGACCACTATAAACGCTTTCACAATATACATCAGGTTCAAGGGTCATTCCACACTGACGCATAGGATAATTGTATTCTGAGAACATTATGTTATGATAATATTCATTACGCTCATGTATATTTTTTAATTAATTTGAAATTATCTAAAAAAAAAACTTATATAATATAAATATATAATTCATTTTTAATCATAATATTATATATAATATTTTTAATATAGTTAAAATATTAAATGCACTTTCTGCTCCTTCTAATAACCCATTAAACACATATTAAGTGCACCCTTTTAAAATCTCTTCTAAAATTAAGGATAAGTTACAGATTATGAATACTAAAAATAGCTAATGTTTTACAACCATATATAGCGACATAAGTGGTTATAGGAGAACATAACACTAACCATAAAATTTGGAGCAAATAATCTGTGCCGTCAAGAGCTGTTGAGGAAATGTGCGATGGCCTTGTCAGTGTCGTTATCGTACATGGCTAGAGCTTCCGTCACATTCTTCGAAGCAAAGCCCATCTCTCGAAGAAGGTTGTAGCCTCTAACAAACTCTCTTACCTGAAAAAGTGAGGGAAAAGTCTTTCAGTAATTTAATATCCAAATACTTCACCCTCAACAATGAAATTTACATAAAAAATAACTTCTATTTTAATTTCCTACAGCACGAATCCACATAACCACCAAAAATTTGTACACAGGCAATAAGAGAGACAGCAGATTGTGTGTGAATTTCAGGAAGCAATGAAGCATTACAGCAAGATGGCATGAAAATTGCAATACATCATTCTGTAGCATGACAGCAGAAGCATCAGTTCAAATAAATTGGTAGGATGGGTAAGGAGTAGATTATTTCTTTATTGAAAAGGTTTTTTAGCAGAGTAAATGAGAAAATAAGATTGTGTGGAATAAAGTTTAAACAAGCTACTGGTGAAGCAGTAGATGGAA